CCGTGGTATTTTGGGTTCCCCACACACATTAACCTCGTCGAGGGCTCACATCGATGTTGCACTGCCATTCTCTGCACTTTTTCATCTCCGCTGCCTGATTTCATGGTCTGAAATTACACGCACGAAGTTATATTGTATGATAGCAGCGATAGTAACCAGCATATACTAATTTTAGGTTTTAGCATGCACAGCCACTAACACAGTTTATGTTGAAGTGCATTGCGTGATAGCAGCGACGGCAACCAGCACATACTATTTTTAGGGTTTAGTGTGCACACCAACTAATGTGTCTTTTAAGATATAGTAAATTATGTGAGCAACGACGGTTATCAACACATATTAATTTCAGAGGTTTAGCGTGAAACCCACTAATCCAACTTATGATTTTAAAAAAAGTATACTGTATGACAGCAGCGACAGTATCCAGCATATATTAATTTTGGGTTTTAGCATGTTCGGCCAGTAGTATAGTCTATATTCAAGTATATTGTGTGATAGTAGCGACGGCAACCAGCACATACTAGTTGTAGGGATTGATATGCACTCCGACTAACACACTTTAAAATAAAGTAAATTGTGTGAGCGACGACGGTAACCAACACACGTTAATTTATGGTATAGCATGCACGCGCACTATCACAGTTTATAGTAAAGTATTCTTTGTGATAGCAGCGATGGTAAGGAACATATACTACTTCTAACGTTTAGCACGCACACGCACCAATACAGTTTATAATGAAGTATATTGTGAGAAAACAGCGACCGTCAGCAGCACATACTAATTTTTGGGTTTAGCAACACAGTCTATAATAAAGTATATTGTATTGTGTGATAGCAGCGACGGTAACCAGCAGAAATTAGTTTTTAGGGTTTAGCATGTTTACGCATTAATAAGTTTATACCAAAGCGTACTGTGTGATAGCCGCGACATGCCGCGACGGTCATTTTATAATAAATTAAGTATTTCGCGAAATAGCAGCGATATTTCAGCTCGTAGTCATGGTGGAATTTTATTTATAGTGAAGCATACTGGGTGATTGCTGCGACAGTAACCAGCATATATTATTTCCAAGGTTTAGTATGCTCACCCACAAACACAGCTTATAGCAGAGTCCGGCGGTAAACGACGGTATTTAAGTACATTGACATATGTAGTAAAAGACCGGCGATGAGTAAATTGACATATGGAGCCAGAGACGGGGTTTAAGTAAGTTGATATATGAAGCCACAGACGGGGTTTAAATAAACTAACGCATGAAGCCAAAACAGGGATAAAGTAAACTGACATATGAAGCGGCGAAGCGAGAGACGTTGTTTAAGTGAATTGACATGTGAAGCAAGGGGTGGTTTGAATAAATTGAGATACATGGCCCCAAGCGGGGTTTAAGCAAATCGACATATGATTCTACCCTGAATAGTTCGGGTGGCGACGGCGCTTCTACCTTGAAAGATTCGTATGACACCGACGTTTCATTACATAGGTATCTGGGAGTTTAATAGGCATACCCGCTAAAATGTTTATTATTTAGTGGAGCATACTGGATGATTGCAGCAACGGTAACCAGCGTATATTAATTTGAGGGCTTAGTATGCACAGCCACTCATACAATTTACGGTAAAATACATTGTGTGATAGAAGCGACTGCACACTCACTAACACAGTTCAATTAAGTATATTGCTTGAAAGCAGCGACGGTAGCTAGCAGAAACAAAAAAGAAGGTTTAGCATGCGCACCCATTGACGCAGCGACGGTAACTAGCAGAAACGGACTCTAGGGTTTAGCATGCACACCTATTAGACACAGTTTGAAAGAGTATATTGTGTGAAAGCAGTGGCGGTAACCAACACATACTCATTCTAGGAGGTAGTATACGCACCCACTAACGCAATTTATGCGAAAGCATATTGTATGATAGCAGCGATGGTAACCAGCACATATTAAGCTTAAGGTTTAGTTGCACAGCTATTAACACATGTATAAAAAATATCTTGTATGATAGCAGCGACGGTAACCAGCATATATGAATATTAGGGTTCAGCAGGCAGCCCCACTAACACAGTTTGAATTCAGATTAAAATATATTTTGTGATAGCAACGACGGTAACCAGCATATACTAATTTTTGGTTTTAGCCTGCGTAGCGACTAACATAGCTTATGTTCAAATATATTATGTGATAGTCGTGATGGCAACCAGCAGATAGTAATTTTAGGGTTTAGTATGCACACCGACTGATTCATGTTAAAGTAAAGTAAATTAATAACAGATACGTAGAAAGACAGCTAGATAGAAGATGACAGCTAGGTAGATAGATAGATAGATAGATAGATAGATCAATAGGTAGATAGATGGATAGATAGATACATAGCTAGGTAGATAGGTAGATAAGCTAGATAGGTAGTAAGTAGGTAAATGAATAGGTAGTAAGTAAATAGATAGATAGACAGATAGTACAGCCCGAAGTCGAACTGGGTTTGGGTTGGTTGGCTACCGCTAGGTTTGAGCTCTTTCGACCGGATCAGGCCAGGCTTCACCGCAGCGCTGAGAGGGTGTTGGGTTCAGGGCTTTTTTGGGAGATAATAGTAAAAACAATAATTCTCATAATAATAAGCATCATCATATTTTTTATAATCCCAATAATTGCTATAATAATAATAATTGCAATAATAACAATAATAATAATAGTAGTAGTAGTAGTAGTAGTAGTCGGTGTAGGGTCTCGGGCCCCAGTGTTCAGGTTTCGGCAAGCACTCTCGGAGTGACCAGGCGAAGTCGGAGAGGCCCCACAGCACCCGCAGTCCTAGTTTAGGGCCCCCAAAAAAGCACATAAGCAAAAATTAGGATCCGGATATCCCATATAAATCCCCTTATAATTTATGATGAAGCCCAATTAAGGTAGGGATATCCCTATAAAAAGCTTATGCTTATGTGCTTTTTGGGTCCCTAATAGTCAAAAGCCCGGAACAACGGAGCATCACGGAGAAGGCTCTTCATGTGGGTAGTTGTCAAAATTATGGTCCCTTTTGGGGTACCCTAAATAATAGGTGCCGTATTATAATAAGGACCCAAAAAGGGACCATAATTTTGACAACCACCCATGTGAAACTCCACCTGCGGACATCCCATCACTAAACCCACCTGAGAGATTCGAAGGCCCCACCAGAAGAGAAAAGATCACGACAAGTACTCAATAGCGAAGGGGGCATCTTGCTCGAGCTCGAGATTCGCTGTCGACGGGAGTCAGTGACACACAGCAGGCCCAGTCTAGGATCGCAGACTCACCTAGCCCTAACTCAATGTGAGTGCACCATGCCAGCGTTGCAGGCAGTGGAAAATTCTGAAGCAAGCACTTAATTCCGAGTGCGCCCATCTCCAAGCCAAGGCCACCAATCAAAACCCGCTGCAGTCTTTCCTGAAGTTTAGACTCAACTCGGAGCCTGAACAGGTCTGCACATAGTCATACGTAACAAGCTCGGAAGGCGTTCGACCCTTCTGCTACATCCAACACATCCTCAAGAATGGTTGGCCACCCCGTCTTGGCTAGCGCAGAAAACGATCTGCAGACTGGCACCTTTACGAGTTCCACCACCAGTCAAAAGATTCCTCTAGGTAGTCTATCAGAAGCCCTGAGTGCCAGCTCTCTGCCAACATGCCGTCGCGATCGGCTGCAAGGAAAACACTACGCGAGTGCTCAGACGCACAACTGGAATCTAGAATTTCTATCACGGACAGGCAGGTACTTACTACTCTGTTCACTCCTCGTCCTCGTCAGAAACAGAATCGGTCTGTGGCGGTGGGAGGTCTTCAACCGGAAACGATGGCGCCCGGTTGGCGTAAGTCCTCACGACTTGGCCTGCCAGCATGCTAGTTCCCGCTCTTTCCAATGAAGACAATGCAATGCCCAAGAACTGAGACTTCAGAAGCGTCCCACCCAACATCCGAAACAACCCCTGCAGCCTTCCAAGGGGCCCTCCGGGATGCGCCGCATGGAGGGCTCGATGCTGGCCACGCGCTCGAACAGCTGGCGTCGGAGCAGGTCGCGGAAAGGATCCTCCCAGAATTGCCATGACCAACGGGAGAACGCTGCGCTACTGTCCACACCCAACTCCTCTATGTCGCTACTACTACCTCCCGAAATCGTGCGCCCAACGCCGGCTTGGGGCTGACACACTGTTGATGATATAAATCGTGCATTGCCTGAAGGATCCAAAATGATCCTAAACTATGGGAGTTGTGGCATACTCCTTATGATGAGCAATGCAGGATTTAGATCATCAACCGCAGAGTCTCTCTTGCACAAGGCCTGAAGAGGCATGCTGTCTTGGGGTGAGTTGAAGCCTGCCCCCCTGGTACGCACCGTTCGTCCCTCCTCGTGTTTAGGAGAAGGCTATTCCTGGTCGCTCTTTCCTTATCTCATTTTCGGCCGCCGATTGTCACAGTGATCGACTATGGGCCCGACAACTGTAGAGTAGCTCCGGAAAACCTGACCCCGTAACCCCATCCGCAGCCTCCAAGCGTGCCTGCTGCAGCCATTCCAGCTCCTGTCATGCTGAACTCATGCGTACACGTGTTTCATTCTGGCCCACTGTATGAACTGGGGCTTACCGACTCTTGTGACAGTGTGTTGAATACCCCTGTGGTGCAAACTTCTTCTCGCGGCTCTGAGAAATTTCAGACATACAAAGCAACTGCCGGTACTTGCAACAGTCGTGGCCCACTGATTCTACACAAAATCCGTGTAAGCCACCCCAGCAAGCGAACGCAGCGAGGTCCTGCTCAACGGCTTTGCGGATGCTGGCGTAAGCCTTCTTACAAGCGCTCTTGTCCTGTCATGGCCATCACTTGCTCACATTTCGAAATGTCTCTGCTGCAAATAGAAGCAAGATGGTACCTTGGGGCTCACATCTTTCAAGTCAACGGGCTTGCCGAAGCCTAGGTTGCCAAGACTTCTCACGGCCACTGTGCGACAAACTTGGGGCGGCAGAGGGGAAGACAGATTCGCACCAAGCTGCTGAAGTAGAAGCGATCCCCAATGCCCGGGCTTGATTGCGTTGCCAGCGACAGTGGCGGAGCCATGAACGGAACGCTCATACCCGCCTCCTAGGATGTTCATCCCGGTGGCTGCCATAATCAGACGTAGCAACCCTTTATGGTGACCAAACACTCGCAGGCTGAACAAGCTAGGGCTCTAGGGACTCGGAGACCGGCATAAGGCCACCAGATTTCGGCTGGCTGCGGGCCATGAAGGGTAGCAGCTCCTCTGCCTTACTCCGAAGTTCTCTAGAGTTTGCTAGGACCTGGACATTGTCGTCTGCCCCAACTCCAGCAAATGGCACCACGAGCGCATCAAAGCGGGCGGCGACCCGGACAAAGTCCGTCTTGCTTGGCCAGAAAAGCTTGTAGGCCTCCCCCGGACCATGCAAGGCCTCTCGCACACCGCCGGGGAAAAGCAGCACCATTTCTCCTTGCTGCAGAAGTTTGAAGATGTTCCGAGGTGAGACCGGGACGGCGCCAAAGGTTTGGAATTGTGAAGGTCCTTGATCCGTCGTCATCCGACGCATGGCGCCAGGGTAGGCGAGGCCTCGCGCAACCACGCCCCGCGTCACCAGGAATTCCCGGACCAGCGGCCCAAGATCCAGACCACCGATTTGGTGGTTGCCTACCAGAAGCACCGGACGATCTCCAGCCTCCGCCGGCGTGGGGACGCCGGCCAGACCGAAGGAGCGCAAGGAAGGGGAGGAAGGATCGAAACTGCAGAAGACCGGGGAGACTACCGAGGCGATCCTCTCCACACTCTGGGAGCCCTCTTCAAGCTCCTCCAAGCTTGGGAACTCGTAACCTGTGACGGGATCCTTGTAAGCAAAGATTGGGGACTCCTTCACAATCTTTGCAAAGTCGATGTCGCTGGCCAAGGGCTCATGACTTCTGCTCTCCAGCTCCTTAACCTGCAGTCGACCTGTGAGGCAGCGCTCTGAGAGCAATCCTCGCAGCTCGCCTGCTTCGCTGGAGGAGGGCAACAGCGCGTCCTCCTTGGAGAATGTCAGCAGAGTCGCCGGCAGAGAAGTTCGGCTGGCAGGGCGCCGCAGGTCGCAGGACACAGCTTCCCAGCCGTCTCGAAGCCAAGCCCTGAGCCGAAAATCAAGCGTCCCACTCCGAGCAGCCAAGGCAGCCGACCGGAAGCCAGCTGCACTCGTGGCTGCCTTAACGATCAAATCTCCGAGCCCATGCTCGAAGCTCGCCTGCCCTCCAACTGCAGGGGCTCCCTGCAACAACTCCGCGAGAGGCTTCACCGGCAGTGCGCCCAGGCTTTGCCAAGGCTTCTGCACGAGGCCCGTGGCAGGGTTCACGAGCACGAGCCCCTTCAATGCCCGGCCTAGCTGTAGAGCCACTGCGAGGGCCAGCAGGCCGCCAAAGCCATCGCCGACGAGCACGACTCTGCGCCCTTCTGCAACTTGCTGGCGCAGCCACTCCTCCATGGGAACACAAATACTCGCAAAGCATATCATATAGCATATAACCATACTTAAAACCCACACGGCCCGAGTCCCGAGCCGGTGCCAAAGCAGTTCCCCTCCTCCACCGCCCGAGCCAGCTCGGCAAAGCCGGTCTTCCGGTCCTCTGCGGGCAGAGTGCATCGCCAAAGCCTCGGAGAGTGCTGAGAGCTTGAGACACACCAGGGCATTGCGAGGTCCAGTATGCCAGGCTCCGGGTTCGTGCAACAAAAACAAGAGCTGGCAACGCCACATAAGCAACCAAGAGGGGAACGCGTCAGCTTGCAGGGAGTGGCAACTGACGACATGCATCTGTGTCACTACAGTTGGGCACTTGGACATTCCCGAGAGCAGTGCTCTCTGATTCATCGTAGTTTATCTCTCATGGTCTTTCGTCTTTCGCAAGACTCGAATCAGTCCAGTAGGGGCTGGGCTCGAAGCTGTCCACAAGACTTGGAAACTGCACCGCCGGTACCGTCCCAGTGAAGTCGATGTCGGACAGATACCTTTGAGAGGCCAGAGGTGGAATTTGTTGTGAACTCGCCGCTCCGGAAAAACTCTGTGATGCCAAGCCACAGCATGAGCTCGCTTTCTCCCTCGCTGGGCCCTCCAATGAGGTCAAAACGAAGTGGGCCCGAACCCGGGCCAATCGAGCCATCTCCGCTACTTCGGGGTGCCTTGCCAGAACGGAGTGCGGCAGCCCACTCAGGCTGCAAGACGCCTGGAGGATGCTTCACAGCACACAGTCGCTGTCTTTTTTGACGGTCCTGCCTTGAGGGCGAGCAGCAGCCAGAGCAACCTGCAACAAGCCAACGAGACAGAGGGCGTGACCCAACAGCAGCCCCATTGCAGCCCCACTCCACCGATTGAGCACCGGCCTTGTTGGCCCGTCGAGCTCGCAAAGCTCCAATCGAGGCCAATGCCAGGACACCTGACACTCTGTCGAGCTTGCCCGGTGAGGGACGCCAGCTTCGCCCAGGGCATCCTAGCACCAGTCGAAGCTCGTAGTCTAGGGAAGAAAACACCAAGAAGGTACAAGCAATGATGAGTCATACGCCGCAACGTTCCTTCGGAACCCGCGACCTCTACCGTGCGTCTAATGCAAGGCACATCAGCCGCAACGATATCAACTCCGATAGCTCAACAGCCTTGCACGTCCTGCTTGTCTTCCAGCCTGAAGTCGGCTCTCCGCTTGGCTCAATGCTTGAACTGGCGACGCTTGCCAGTTGCCAATTGCCGCCATGGCAGCCTATTTCGACTAGCTGCCTCTCGGTGTGCAGCCCATACAGCTCCAACATGGTCAGCTTTCGTACAGTACGAGTACCCTTTGCGACCGTTCGTTGCCGGGATGTGCAGGAAGGCAATTTTCCACCTGTACTGACTAGAACTTGCAAAACTACGATCAAATCTGACGTGGCCCCTTGACACGCCGCCTCCATGAGACCAATGGACCCGCGGATGTTGGTTGGCCGATTCCTGTCGTTATACGTCGAAGATACGAGGTCACGACAGGGCCAGCAGTTTAATCATGCTGAAGTTCACCAGCACTTTCCACATGATAAATATGCTGGTCCTGCCATGATTCATGTCTTCAAGATGTCAAACGGCTGTCCCTAGGTGAAGCATCAAGGGTGCCCATCCTCAGTTCCCAAGTTTTCTGCTTCTTGAGGATCTTGTCCTGAGCCCGGCGCGGCAGCTCTGATCGCGCATGATATCAAAAGAGGCGCTTGCTGCATAGCTCTCCGATGGTCTCGAACAGCTAAAGAAGCACGTCCACAGTGAGACAACGGGTCGTTGTAGCATCAAGGACTGAGAAAAGGGCAATCCACCTGGGCTGTGGTGAGACAAACTCAGAGGATGCTTGGGGGTGTTATTCTATGTCAGAGTTATGTCAGGTATTGGCTTCGAACACGCGTCTCATGAACTCGTTTACCAAGAGCAGAGCTGAACACACAAATCCGCCGAATGCACATCTAGCCATAGGGACGCTGGTACCAAACGTAACACAGGCCATTGGACGAAACATGCTCTATGCTGCACCTACTCGTCTGCCTCGCAGGACGTCTAATTGCATAGTTCGAAAATCAAGCACCCAACCAGATGCAAAACTTCTATTCTGTCTACCCTGCCACCTCAACAAAATTATCCCGCAGGTGTGCGTGAAACAATCAAGCCTGTCGAAACATCTTTCGGTGGACTGAAGGCGGTTTCCAACGTGGACGCTGATCGATGCATACTTCCAGCGAGATAAGGTAGTACAATCAGTAACGGTACTGTAGGCGTGGCCGCTACCCCTCCTCAACCATCCTTCTCGGCGACGTGCATGCAAGCAGCGGCTGTCGGATCAGCAGCCCTTTTTCTGGACGTTTCGGTCCAGGCGTTTTGCTCAAAGCCACCTCCCGGCATCGCAGAGCCGAGGGCGGAGAGTAAACAGGCAAAAAGGCGAAGCTCGCAGAAGAAGGGCGCATGCTGACCTTCTTTGCGTTGCGTGCACGCTGAGGAGCTGGGCGCCGCAGGTTCCTGCGGGGCGGACATCCACTGGAAGTTAGTGTCCCATGTCAGAAAGCCTGGAGTGCAAGAAGCCTACAGCACCCTGCTACCAAAAGTTCTGCACTTCGTTGCTGTTATTATTACTACTAAGTACTGCTACTTCTGCTACTACCACCACTGTGTTCTGTGATCAATGCTACTATTCCGATCAAGTTGCTACCAATATAAGCCAATATTGCTACGATCAATATTATTGGCCGAGTCATCGCCGTTAATCCTACATCTGTTCTGGAAGTATGCTCATCCAATGTGCAGGTGTCCTCTTTGAGGCGCCCGAGGCCTTGCCTAGGAGGCCAGACGGACATGTTTCAGGGTTTGGAGGACTTTCATTGCCTCCTACTTCACTTGGGGTTTGGGCTTATGTTTGAGAGGTCGTGACTTGCCGTGTCAAATGCTTGGAGCGACATTTCAAGGACTGCACTTCGATTTTACATCTGCCTGTGCATCACGATGTGCGGCTTCGGTCTCGGTGACTGACTCTTTTGAGGTGCCATGGCGGAGGCAAGGCAACGCAAGCGAAGTGGCCAGAACAGCTAGACTGAAAGGAAAACATGATTTCTACAAGCCTACGAGCAGATTGCAAACCATGGTCCCTAGGATGCATGCAGAAAGACTGAAACATGTCTTACGGACAATATCGGCTAGAGCCAACGAAGCGCAAGCTGTCCAGACTGTGGCCAAAGCTCAGCAGCTGTACGGCATTGGTGTATAGTCGAACGCACAACTCACAAATGGCAGTCAGCTGGATCAAGCTCATGGCTGCTAGTTTGCCGCCATAGGACTTGTTCTTCCGCAGTCCCGACCTTGGAACAAGGCATGGCAAACAAAGCAGCCAAATCATTTGGACTAAAGCAACTCGGACAGTGCTGGCAAAGCTGTTTCGGTTCCAAGGGCAGCGTAGCTCATCGTCCTGCTGCAAGTCTGCGACCTGGATCAAACAATGGAAACAGCGAAGCTCCGTCTGACCGGGGTGAACATCTTGAGGGAAATAGTTTAAGCAGTGAGCACAGGGCTGATGCTTGCACTGCGTCTCCTCGTTCTTTGTGCTTAGGACTTGGAGTCACAGATTAAGCACATGTGTCCTTACGCTGTAGGGGTCTGGTCACTGCGCATGCCGGACTGCGTGGCCAGGATCTGAGCATGGGCGACTGCAAACAGATCCCTATTGCGGCCTGGCAGCAGCTCGAAGCCGCAACAGGGATCTGGTTCAGTCGCCCGTCCATCATGCAAGCAAGACGCGGTTGGGACAAAGGAGGCACCGCGCTTGTCGAGACGCCGCAGCTCGGCCCCTCTGCCACGGATAGCGCGGCCTCGCGCTCGTCCTCGACCCCGAGCTTCGCGGCGCCTCCAGGGACACATGGACAAGGCCGCCTGCAAAGTGCAGGCCCAGCGTCTGGTCCAAGGCCGGGGCGATGCTCCAGAGCAGCATCGCGTCGCTGTGCAACGTCCAAAGCCTCACGTAGGAAGCCTCCTTTCGCTTGTCGGCCTGTCGCCACTGCTTCCATCCCACGCTCCATGTGGGCTCGCAGGATCGGCGTGGAGGTCCATGCCCTCTTCTATTGCAAAGCTTTGGTAGCCCTGAACCAAGGCAACTCCTAACCGTCGAAAGGCTCAAGGCGGCCATCTGCAGTCTTCTTGGCGCTTGCAACAGTGTTTTCTGAATGTATTCATGCATCGTTGCGTCCGTCCCGGTTCTCTCAGGATCCATCAGCGAAATCGAGCAGCGAAGGCGCCTGGGTCCTGGACTCCGCCAACTCCAGCAACGAGAAGGCCCCACCATTTCGTGGTTTCGAAACTGAGGGAGCGGGTCGTTATCGGCTCTTCGGCAAGTCCTGTGACAAGGAGGGGCCTCTGTCACAATCAGCTCATAGAGTGCCAGAACTGCCAAGCGGTCGAAGGCGCACGCTGCGGCCTTCTGCACCTCAGCCTTGATGGACCGGAAGGGCTCGAGACGAAAACGGCAAAGCCCATGCCAAGGTGGGGAACTGGCATGGTGGGCTCATCCAACGCGTGAAGGCCGATCCCGCCCACAGATCCAAATGCTGACGCGCCTGGACTGCATCTGCCAATTGCTAATCCGGATCTCGCAGGGTCTGGCCTGGCAAGGACACTGGGCAGCGCTCGAGTAAACAGAACATGCGATGAGCACATACCTAGTCTTTACAATCTAATTTTATCTGTTGGTTTCCTCTGCTATCATACATCAACAGCAGTAGTAAGAAGACTCCGAATGATGACATAATGACTAAGCACCACCAACAGCCGCGCTCTTTGCCTCCCTGAGGAGCTGCGTACCGGGTGGCTCTGGGGGAGGCAGAGCTGCAGGATACTTTCGACACAGACATGCAACACGATGCCGAAACCCTGAGCTTAAAAACCCTCCCCGGCCCCAAACCCCAACACTTTGTAACCTAAACCCCATCCAAATCCAAAACACTAAAACCCGACACCCTCTTTGCATCCCACTCTAAAACCCTAAACATCGCAGAACCCCTAAACTCTGAAAGATGCAGAAACCAGTCTTCGATTCTTGAAGCTCGATCAGCTCAGGATGCATGCCTGACCATTCAAAGTCGACTCCCAACCTCCGACCCCGATCCGACCAGGGTTGTACCCGGTTCTGTGAGCCTTTACCGGATTCTGCAGAGTTTTACACGAATTTGGGGTGAGGATCCTCCTTCGGGGACCCCTGAAAAGCCATGCGGCTAACTCCGAGACTGCCCTGAACACCTGTAGCCGGCCGCCTGCTCCTGACACGTCTCCAGCACCTTGAAAGCGATGGCCTCGCCCCTGTCAGCCCACCCACTGGCACAGCCGCCCCAGGTCGGTGAGCCTGGAAGAGGAGAGAGGGTCCACACTCGGCGTTCTGGCGGAAAGTGCATATCAAGCAGGCGTCCCTGACGACCATGCGGCATTGCGTCTGCTGTAGTGTGAAGGGAAACTCGGCGACCGGGACTCCATGACTGCTGCGACGCGAAACTCCGCCACCACCGAGTTGTCTAGTACTTTCTCGGGCCACAGAGGGCTTCTCAGCAACGCTCGGAGCCATGGCTCAGCAAAGACGGTCATGGGAAAATGTATCCTAGAAGTGCTCCAAACCCTGTGAAGTGGCAATGGTCTTTCGGCAAATAGGCACGGGCGGAGCAAATGATGCTTAACATGTGTGGCCAATGTTCGGAAATCATGTATCTCGCAGCGATTACATGTTCCAGCGCGACTCCGGAGCCTTTGGCAGCCTTGCCACAGAGAGCCCCGCATGAGAAGCCGTGCAGCTGGGCGGCACAACTGGCGTCACTGACGGGCCGCAGGGCAGGAACGAAAACTTTGGAAGGGCAAGTGCTCGAAATTCCTGAAGGTCATGATGCTAGGCCTCATCTGAACCTTAGTCATAGTCCTGACCCACGACGGCCCCATTTTAGCCACGGGGGGCACAGCAGAGGGCGGTACCAATGCGAGCGCATCGTGATAGCCATGAGCAAGCTCGTGACAACCAGCCTTACTCTCGAACGGCTTGGTTTCGACGAAATACTGTGCTCATGTCTACGACACCATGACGTCAAGCCGTGCGCGACAAGCTCGCACACAAGTCTCGGTCTCAAACGATATTAGCAGGAAAGCCGGTGAAGGCACCTACCACAGATCCCATGTCTTTCGCATCCAGCTCCGGCGGAACGGTGGCACATGAAATTTGCACTCGTGCCTGAATAGGCCGGAGCTTGGACCCATCCAGGGCGAAGTACAGCGACGTCACCTTAAACAGATTGCCCTGAGAATGCTGCGGTTTTTGCAGAGATGCGGGCACTCAGGGCTCCACGTCGCAAAAGCGCTGAGCAGTTATGCTGATACCTCTTGAGGACAGACCTGCTCGGAAACGGGAAGCCAAGGCAATCCAACGCTGTTGCTCGCATCCTTCCGTTCAATACACCTTGCTGTCAGTCTCTACACCGATCCTTGCAACATGTCGCTGCACATGGAACCAAAAGTCGGCCGCAAAACAGAGAGTGCGATACCTACAAACCGAAAACCATGGAGCAGATGCTAGGGGAACACAACCCGGCGCGAGATCCCAATCACAAAAAGCTTCAGCCTAAAACGCGGCCCCAGGACTGGCGACTCGACTGCGCTGGGTGCGCCATGGGCATTCTGTACATGCATGTAGTGCTTAGCGCTCTAGCCCAACATGTCTTGTCCGAGGCAGTCGGACGGCCGAGCTGCTTTCTGTCAGAGCCGCATACCTGACGCCTTGAGAAAGTTAGCTATACTGAGAATGTCGAGACGATACGAGTGTAAGGTAATGTAAGTGCCAGTGCGGCTGTCTAAATTCCACAACCATTTCATGCAGTTGCATTCGCTGCTGAATCCACATATACAGCTACATCGCGCACATGCGGGTCCCACCCAACAGGGGTGATGAACTGCTTGGCACTCGGCACTGCAACTCCAAGCAGCAGATCTCGCAAGTGTGCATACTCCAACTGCTGCTGGTGGGGGGCAAGAAGCTACTTGACCTTCTGCCACCTTTTCCCTGCAAACCATCTCCCTATGAGCGGCGAGCTACCTGAATACACAGGCCAAGCATGGCCTGAGCATGGCCAAGCATTGCAGGAGATTCGTTAACACAGCTGTGCAGGTAAGGTCTGCCGTGGACCCTCCTGAAGACCTGCTGCTTCTGAGCAGATCCACGAGGGAGCTGAGCTTAGGAGGTCTCCTCCGCCAGGCTCCTCCTCACATTCTTGCCTCGGAAGCTTTCTGGCGCCCAGAAAACCTCGCAGGAGTGTTTCAAAGCTCTTCCAATCTACGTACAAGATCCTACAAGGGCTGCCGTCCCAACACTCTGAATCCACAGCTCCAACTCCCAACATGTTTATGTCGCACATGCCGCAAGTGGAGATCATCAAAGGCGGCAAAGAAGTCGGCACCAGGACTCCAGCCTCCGGGCCCACAGTCCTCGGCTACGCAGGCGGACCCAGAGTGTTGCCTCTAACACGCAGACTGCCCCGGCTCGGAAGAAGCCAAGTAGCATGTTCGATGGCTGCACGAAGTGCGGGTCTGCTGGACCCTGCTTGGTGGCCATTCCCAGACCTCGGACGCTGTGTGGTCTGGAGCCGTCACAACCAGAGCCTTCTCTGCTACTCTAAGTGCAGCGCTGCTTACCAGTCGTGCAGAGGCTTCCCGGTCTGTCCTGGGCCGGACAGGCTCGTTCGATGCCTTCAGCTCTAGCTTAACAGAAAGTCGACCCTGAACTCTAAACCCCTTTTACACCCTTTTTGCAACAGGCTTTCCCCTTTTACACCCTACACCCTAAACCCCTAAACCCTAAACATCTTGAGCCTGCTATTTTGCCAGCGCAAGTTCCAGAAGCTCGAAGCGGCAGATAGAGGCCCCGGCAGTCCCTGCTGAAGCAGCTTCTCCTGCTCTAAGGTCAGCTCCTGGAAGGCTGCAGAAAGTCTTAGGGTTTTTTCCCACCCGCCCAGCTGACAAGTCGCACCGCAGGGATTACTGTTGAGTCACAAGTCGGAGAAAAGGTCTGTGTGGGCCTCATTCTTTTAGGGTTTAGGGTTTTAGGGTTTAGGGGTTTTTAGGGTTTCTGGCTTATAGAAGCTGAACCTCCTAATGCAGGGGCCGTAATAATTAGAATAGGGTTTGGGGGTATATTCTAATCCCAATACCCTGGCCCAAAAAAGTCTATACTTTTCTTTTAGTATAGGGGTTAACTATACCAAAAACGTCTAAAGTTTACCCATTGGGCCCTAAGCTCCTACCAAGCCTTTGAAGGATTACGGATCATGTTTCTCAACGTCCACTGCGGGGTAAAAGAACGCAAGGTCAATGCCACCTCGACATCGCTGTCTTCGCCACATTGCACGGCAGTCTCCTGCCGCAAGTCTCGCAGGCAGGCAGACTGCTTTGTCGAGCAAAGCCTGAACACGTGCGCAAACATCTGAACTAGCATCGTTTCGGTATCTGGCAGATCTCCGAACTTTAGAAAAAACCTGGGCTATGGCTTATCGCTCACCAGTCTTTGTACATCTCGGATACTATCCAGCCCGTCCTCATCGGAAGAGTCGGGCCCCGCAGGCTCCGGCACTGTCTTTGGTGCCTTGCACTCTGTGGTGCCAGGTGAGGTGCCTCAGTCGGACGCAGCATTCCGAAAGAGTTTCCTGTGGCTCGGCTGTCCACAAGCGAACCGCGAAATGCACTAGCTGGCCGGACATGTGAACGGGTAACAGTACCGAAAACCTCGATCCCTCTGCCTCGACCTCGTTTCTTGTCCCCGAGATCCATTGAGACGTAAGACACAGCGCAGGCACCTTTCTCGCCGAGGGCCCTGCAGACTCCGCGCAAGCCTGCGAAGAGCGAGCGTTCACGTTTGCGCTGTTCGGCCTCCCGAGGACTGAGACTGCAGTTCCGTGTTCAACGATACCTGGTAAGCCATGTACCATGCTGGCAGGAGCAAGCTTCTGCAGCTGCCTGTGCTTCCAGTGAACAAATCACAGCAACGAACTCCGGTATGAGATGCATTAAGAGTCAAAATTAGGGTGCTCCACACCTCTTGGGCCTTGAGCTGGATCCTGAAGAGCAGGCACGGTGTTGGACCGCGGTGGAGTGCAAAGGCCCCGTGACGCAATCTGCCGGACACCGTGTGACAGGGACTTCGATTACAGTACAGACTGACGCCGGACATGTAGTTCCAAATTCGGCTCAACCTTCGACTTTAGCTCGCGCAAAATTATTTGTGGCAGATCTGAGACGCGGGCATCTTCTTTCTAGTATCCGGATTGTCTGGGCTTACCTTCCGGCGCTGCAGGAACCACTTGGAGAAATTCCGAAATTTGGATTACTGACAGCATGTTTAGCAAAGGTTTTCGTTTAGGGTTTCGACTTTTGGGTTTAGGGTTGGGTGAGCAGTCGGCTCCAAGGTAGAACTAACTACTCGATTCCGAGAATGGAGCTGAAGTTCTGATGTTCAGCCAGGGCCGCCAATCTGAGGCGTCAGAATCAAGAAGAGGTCGGTGAAAGGGAGGGTATCCTCGCTGAAGTAGTACACGTGGTGGTAAAGCCGTCGTCTGCGGTGGCGGCGGCGGCATTGGCGATGGCTAACTTTCCGTCATTGTGATATTGAGTGGCGGCGGCAGTGGCCGTGGGCTGGAGTTGCAACTAACTACGAGTACCGGAACTATATGTTTGCCAGACCGTTCCGACAGGCGCTCGGTAGGTTCGACTGAAACCGGAGCAATAGGGAACACTCAATTCAACGGCCACTACAGTACCTTCCCCAAACGCCACTGCAGTTTTTGTCGTGCTTCCGGATACTGGCTGTCTGTACACTTTTCGAAGCCTCTGTACAAATTTCGGAGCCAGCAAAGCGGAGCCTCAGAAGATCGCCGGACCGGTTCGGTGCAACGAACGTAGAAAGCTGAACCCTAGATGTGCTAAGCCCGCAATCTGCTGAAGTGCTGTGGAGATGCTCTGTCTGAGAGTGATTCTTTACAGTGGCACTCAACTGTGCCCTGCCTATTGCAGGGTGGAAGAAATGTGACATGCAGAGTCGCATGCCCTTATGCCCCGGCAGCAGCCAGGCTCGCCGCGTGGTTTGCCACTTCCGGAAACGGCCCCTTGTCCTCTTCGGCTTCGGCCTTGTCGATAAGTTTGAGAAGAAGCTCCGTCGCCCTGGGCACGCCGCCAGCGGCCTGGAGCTTCCTGGCGCACTCCAGGGCTCTGTCCTTGTAGGAAGGCTCCTCGAGAACTTTCCGAAGAGAGGCTGCAGCGGCCTCACGATAAGCAGCTGCTTGGGAGGCTGCCTCGCTCACAGGACCCATCGGCCGGTCCACCTTGAGACCTACGCCAAGCGACTCTGCCTTGGCTGCATTTTCAAGCTGATCGCCGAAGCCGGGGCACACAACCATGGGGACGCTGGTGGAGAGGGCTTCCATGAAGCTGTTCTGGCCACCGTGCTGCAGGAAAACGTCCACACCAGCACGCAGGACGTCCACTTGAGGCAACGAAGGGGCACAAAAGGCGTTCGGTGGGGCCGTCATCTCATCCAAGGCATCGGGCTGGGGGCCCAAAGCCACGAGGATCAGCGGACCAGCCGAGGAATCGGAACCGAAGGCATCGAAAACTCCAGCCCAGGCTGCTTGGCAAAGCTCTTTGCCTGTGAGGCCCCGAGGCTCCCCGTCCACAACCGGACGAGCCCTCCAGCCCAGCTCTTTGTTGTCTCCGGTCACCATGGTACCCAAGCTGGCCAGCACCACCTTGCGACCGGCCTTGCGTGCATCCTGAACGAGCTCAACTGGATCCTGCTCAGAAGAGCTTGCCGTGTGCTCGTTGTCCTTGTGGAGGGAGGCATCGAAACGAAGGCCGGCGGCCCGTTTGGCACCAGGCTTGTCGAGCAACGGGCCCACAAATGCGAAGTTGGCACCTGAGGTGCGGATTCGTCGGTTCCCCTCTTGTTTTGGTGGAACTCCTTGTGAGTTCAAGAATCGATAACAAGCAAATATCTAAACGGATACGTACTCCGACCGTCTCTTTAGGAAACCCCACCTGCCCCGTCGTAGGCCTCGCGCATGTCGGCTGGGTACGGGTCGGCGAGAAACTCGCAAGTAGTTACGATGGTCAACTGGCTCAGAGATATAGCAGGGAGCAGGCCAAGTGGTTTCAGAGTGTCTTCTAAACCAAGGGGAAGACCTCGTGCCTTCAGGCGCTGCAAGCATTCCCTTAAAGGCTCAAACTGCCGACGCTGCTCCAGCATCTGCTCTACCGTCAACCCGGCAGCATCAAGGATGTTTTGCCAGGCAGGTTGACCAGCACCTGGCCCAGCAATGGTCAGGATGCTCGCACATGGCAGACCTGCCAGCTGGGCAGCCAAAGATGCCTCCAGGTTGATGAGCGGATCGCAAACAACCACATCCGCACCGATCTCCTGCAACCAGCGCAGCGCGCCGGGGAGCATCATTTCATACATGATCTCCTTCAGAAGCATGCGCCCGCGGACGTAGCCCTGGCTGGTGAGCCCGTACTCATCTTGCAGAGAGGCAATTGCGCCAATCATGTCTGGCTCCCTGCCAACGTAGAGCTCCGGCTGCACATCAATTTCTGAGTGGAACTTGGCACCAGTGTCTTCAATCGCTGCCTGCATTTGTGGTCGGCACAGGTAGTGCACGGAATGGCCCCGCTCAACAAGGCATCGAGCAACACCCAAGGATGGATTGATATGGCCGGAGGCCATGGGGAACACGAATGCGAAGGTGTGAGCTTTCGCCATGGCTGA